TTCGGCCGCCACCGTCGTCTTGGCCGCCTCCTCACTTGGTCCTTCACCAGGTTCTTAGTCTCCCGTCTTCTACTGGCCTTCCTCCTAGCTTGCTGTGTCCACCGCCTCACCATTCACCGCCACAGTTGCAGCCAGACTCCCCACTGCCTGCTCCTTCTCCTTACGCTGAGCGGATCGACTCTCTTACAGAGCGTCGTGAGCCTGAGTCTCATCCTCGCTCGCGTGTTCGCGGTGTTCGCACAAGTCGTCGTGTTCCTCGTCCGCGCCCTCCTCCTGTCATAGGTACTCACATTATGGCACTTCGTCCTTCCTCTGTTCCACTGCGAGTTCCCCTGCCGTCTCCTCCTGCGTCCTCTCTTGCTGACGGTCCGGACCCTGAGTCTGACTTAGTTCGTGCTGCCAGTCCTACTGTCCCACGTCTTCTTGCCACTGTTGTCACTGACCCTTTGTTTGAGTCCGCTGCTGCGTCTGCCTTAGTTGCTGAGCTTGTTGACTTTGCTGCCGCCTGTCATCACGACTACGCCGCTAGTCTTGTTGCTGAGTCTAAGTCTGGCTGTCCTCCGTCCGCGGGGGTGAGTGTGCTATTGGCACGGACGTCCTTGAGGATAGGCATGAGGACTTTGAGTGTCTTGCAGCTGCTGTACCTCATCTCGTGGCCATGCTGCTTGCACCTGAGGGAGACTCGGATGCACCAGACATCTCGACCCTGCGCTCTTACACAGAGGCGATTACGGGTCCCTACTCCTCTCAGTGGCAGACATCCATGGACGCAGAGATGGCATCCTGGAAGTCCACAGGCACCTACGTCGACGCAGTTCCCCCTTATGGGGCGAACATAGTCGATGGCATGTGGATTTTCAGGGTGAAGCGGTCGTCGGGTTCTCCGCCTGTCTTCAAGGCTCGTTACGTTGCACGAGGCTTCAGTCAGTGACAGGGAGTTGACTTCTTCCAGACCTTCTCCCCTACCCCAAAGATGACCACTCTTCGGGTGCTGCTGCACGTCGCCGCTCAGCGTGACTACGAGTTTCACTCTCTTGACTTCAGCACAGCTTTCTTACAGGGCAGCCTGCACGAGGAGATCTGGCTGCGCCGCCCACCTGGCTTCACTGGGTCGTTTCCTGCAGGTACCCAGTGGAGCCTGTGGCGGCCAGTCTACAGTCTCCGCCAGGCGCCTCGCGAGTGGCATGACACACTGAGGACGACGCTTGCGGATGTTGGGTTTGCTCCTTCGACTCCTGACCCGTCGCTGTTTCTGCGCACCGACACTTCGCTGCCGCCGTTCTACATCCACGTGTACGTCGACGACTTGTTCTTTGCCACTGCTGACACTGAGGCACTGGCCCTTGTGAAGTTGGAGCTGCAGAAGAGACACACCTGCACTGACCTGGGTCAGCTGCGTAGCTATCTTGGCTTGCAGATCACCCGGGACAGAGCGCAGCGCACCATCACCCTGACTCAGTCACACATGTTGCACCAGGTCCTTCAGCGCTTCGACTTCCGGTACTCCTCACCACAGTCCACTCCTCTGCCTACCGGTCACTCGCTCTCAGCTCCACCTTCGGACGAGTCCGTAGAGCCGAGTGGCCCGTATCCAGAACTTGTGGGCTGCCTCATATACGTGATGACCTGCACTCGACCTGATCTTGCCTACCTTCTTAGCATCCTGGCACGCTACGTTGCGCCCGGGAGACACCGACCATAGCACTGGGAGGCCGCTAAGAGGGTGTTGCGCTACTTGTGCAGTACATCGGGCATGGGGCTCACGCTTGGAGGACAGGGTCCAGTTGTCCTCACTGGACACGCAGACGCTTCTTGGGTTGACGACTTGGCTACGCAGCGGTCCTCACAGGGTTACACTTTCAGCCTTGGCTCCGGCTTTGTTTCTTGGCAGTCTACCCGCTCGTATTCTATTCTCAGTTCCAGTTGTGAGGCTGAGATCTAAGCAAGGGCCATGGCTGCACAGGAGTTACGCTGGCTCACCTACCTGCTGACCAACTTGGCAGAGTGGCCTCCTTCTGCTCCAGTTCTGTTCGTAGATAACAATGCCATGATTGCCTTGTGTCAGGAGCACAGACTGGAGCACAAAACGAAACACATCGCTCTGCGTTACTTCCTTGCTCGAGGGTTGCAGCAGCGTGGTCAGCTTCGTCTTGCTTACGTGGCCACTCGGGCCAACACTGCTGATATATTCATCAAGGCACTTCAGCCTGGTGATAGATACATATACATATGTATGTATATATTCCTGCATGCTTACACTTGCTAGGTTATGATCACTGTACTGTTTGTTCTCTTTTATATAACTCTGCATGTGAACTGGCCTTGTGGCCATTTGCTTGTGCTAATAGTGTGTGGCGACTGTGTGATCCACCCTGAGCTTTTTTTGTTTTTTCTTGATTGGTCTTGTGACCACTTGTTCTCCCCCATTTTGCCTATGGGGGTGTGTCAAAATGTTATAATACTTATATTGTGTAGGCTGTAATGAGGTAGCCCATAAGGGGTACAACCCAATTAGGGACTCAATGCATTCATTCTCGTTCAATATTCTGAGAGTAGCTTCGTTATGGAGTGACGCGCGAGTGGAGAGCCTTTGGGAATGTTACTCTAACCTTTAGGTTATTCCAACAGCCAACACAACAAAGGTAGCGCCGAAGCGCTACTCATCCTCTTTTGCCTACAGAAGAGGGACGTGGGGACATTCGTCCCCTCTCGCGTTTTCATTTCCGAAATCGTACTAATTTCCCACCCGCCCACCCATTTGTGTATGTTGTTATCAGGCCCTCAGATTGGTTTGAGGGTATGCTGATGGATCAGCGTGCCCCGATCGCCCAGGTGTCCAAATCAGCGTTCGTGGTTTTCTTTATACTGATTTTGCCACTGTAAAAGTTATAAGTAAACTGAACCATCAGTGTAAAAAAGAAATACAAAGTTGAATTTCCCGTTCAAAATTTGTCGCTGTGAGAGCTCCTTCCAGCGATGCAGAACACGTCGGCACGCGATCTGTACAGACGCGTACCACCCCGAATCGGTCTAGTGCGTTTCAGTGTGACTCACGACACTACACTGATTCGTCAGTGCTACTTGTACAGCAACACGGAAAATGGTCAGTGTGGCAAGGTATGTTATACTGAAATTTCAGTGCAAATTTGAAGCATATGCTGAATTTTCAGGGAAAACGAAAATCTGAGCTACAAAATCAGCGTAATCAGCGTGTTTTACGCTGATATCTGAGGGCCTGGTTGTTATGTAGACCTATATATGACAAGAACAATGTACTACAACCCATATGAAATGATAACGCTGCCTTTGCAAGTCAGCCTAAGTAGACTTTCCACATACTGTTATCCTTCAAAATACAGCACCAGAGGCAGTTGGACTAGACTGCTGGGATATTGGAGAATGAAAAGTCTTTGTAACCGATGAACGCGAAGTATGCAATGCGACTTTCATGGAAACCTGGTATAAAGAGTAGAATGCCCAATATAATAAACGAAATTCCTGTAAAAACGGAAGGGTGAACAGGAGGGGCACGAACGCATGTATGAATGCGGATTACTGTGAAAAAATGCACTCCATGTGAATAAACAACTACACATACAGGAGGGAACAAGTCGAGGGAAGGGGAGGGGGAAGAATGGAGGAAAGAGAAAAGTGCAGGCACAGGCGTCAGTGAGTCAGGTCGGGATCAGGGACAAAAAATAGTCCAACGGAAACCATGTATGGGATTGCAAAATGAACAAGCAAAGAAATATTGCAGCAAACGCATGCTGAACAGCCAGAATTCGGTTATACGCACCGTGGGAGCGATCTCCCCACACTTTGTGGTACGTCATCCATGATCCCACAATGATCCCTAAGGCTCCAAGCGCTAGCAGGAGGAAAGCGAGGCAGACTTCCTTAATAGGCGGCCGGTTATAAATGATAAAGTCGCCGCCAAACTCCTCGGAAAGAGTTGGAGAGGGCGGTGGTGGTGCTTCCGTATCCAGTGATTGTTGCGTCTGTCCCTCCGCCATGACACACTTAGTTACAATGTGACTGTAATAAGTGTGACAATGGCGAGACAAATCTATTGTGAGATCCACGCACCTACAGAGTCCTAAGGAGAGAAAGCTTCGACGAATAATTGCACGATGCAGGTGACAGAAGTAAACTTAAAAACCGTAATGTCCACGTCAGAGTGCCTTTTCGTCAAGCTCCCACACGCTTCCACGGAACTCACGAACCCTAGTCTAGTAGAGAAACCAACTAGAGCCGACGACTGCGTTGCTAACTGAACCCGTGATCCACTTTCACGTTGACGACACAGCAAGCCTAAGCAGAAAAGCTGCCTTCAGTAGGAAATCCCAAAGCCGAACGAGACAAGGGAGCTATTCTAACTAGGACTCAGCGAATCCAAGGTTGTTCAGCTGAGCTTCGGGTAAGAGAGGCCCTACGGAATTCCCTCAACTCTGCAATTGCTCAGTTAGAAAATCTGACAGTCAGGAAATCCAAGAACTCAGTTGGCTCAGCTCTCGAGGTCCGCTCCGCAACCCCATTTCAGCTGTCAGGTGTGTTTCAAAAACGGATTGTCAGTTGCCGTTGAGTTGGCGGGGTGGATGGGAGATGTTACGGGCGAAATACTTACTTTGAGTATGATGTCGGGTTACATAGTTCGGCGAGAAGCGCATTGGGGAACTTCGTAAGCGTATGTTACCAGCGTCAGACAACTTCTGATTCAGCTGCAAAGGATTCATTGACGAAGGGCGTGTCCACTTCTCACCCACCACGACATCACATTCCAGTACAGTGAAGAACGACTACCGCTGTTTATCGTGTAAAACAATTGTTGAACCGCTTTGAAAATCACTGAAGGATTACTCTGGGCAAGAGTGCACGCGTTCATTTTTAGAACAAAGCATGTACTTTTCCCGAGAAATTATTAGCGAGTCGCAAGTCGTTCCGTGTGGAATTCGCGTAGTCAGTAAAGAAGCATCGCACCGTTCGCCTTGTAGTCTTAGTCGATGGCGTCGCCGAGAGGCGACGACGATGATCCTAGCCACCTGGCGAACGAGCAGCAGGCTGCTGACGTGGCACCCGCTGGAGAGCAATCTTCGATGGATGCGGAAACCCCCGAGGCTGTGAATAAGGAGTCGAGCGCGAAGGGCCGCGCTGAGAAGGGGAAAGGGGGTGGCTCGCGCAAAAAGCGGGATCCGCGGGGAGCGATCGGCGGAGAGGAGGCTGGCGGAGGAGCAAGCGGCGGAGCTGCGCAGATCGGGGGGGAAGTCGAGGAATTGCCGCGGACAGTGGTGAGGCGAATCGTTAAAGCCAAAGTGCAGGAGCTGACGCAGCAAGCGGGAGGTTTGGGGGGAGCGGCGGGCGCAGCGGGCGCAGGGGGGGAGGGGTCTGGGCGGAAGAAGGAGGTACAGGTGGCGAAGGATGCGCTGATCGCATTGTCGGAAAGCGCTAGGGTTTTCATCCACTACCTGACTGCCACGTGAGTATCTCCTAGTAGTTACAACCACACCCTGCCACGTCACGTGGTCTCGTCTCAGAGGTGATTTTTCAGTCGATTAGAGAACTCACCTTGTATGTTATGGCGCCTACAGCAAGCTCGTTCGTTTCTTGTTGCATACTGGCAGTCACGTTCTCTTCGTGTATGGTGGTGATATAGTCCTCCCTTGCTGTGTGAACTCCTTTCATCTCCAGTAATCAGATTCTTTTTTTCTGTAATCGTCATGAGTCAAGAATGTGTGGCGCAGTTTCATTAAGCAAGATCACAACCTTTCCTTTTCTTGCTTCTTTTGTCACCCTTTCCTTCGGTTTCTTCCCTGGATCTTTCTCCTTTTCCTTTCAAAGCCAACGCTGTATGCTGCAGCAACAAGGAAGCAAAGAAATACAAAAAAAAAAATATATACAAAAAAAATCACCCGACCTGTAACATTTCCCTGCTATCAAATTCCTTCCCGCGTGTCCAATCTTTCCCCCCTGTCACATTCTTTCCTCCTATCAGAGCGAACGATGTGTGCCGCAGCAACAAGCGGCAGACAGTGAGCGCTGCCGATGTGCTGGCTAGCATTGAAGACATTCAGTTCCCGGAGTTCCTGCCTGCTCTGCAATCCACGCTGGAAGGTCAGCACAGTTCCTATTTTTATAAACGTCTTAAAATAGCAACTCACAGTGCATCGCAGACTGGGATTCTTACTGCAAGGTCAGCCCAGTTCTGACTATTTTTTACATGCTCTTGTTGCACCATGTGTGGTGGTCAGCATAGACGACATCCTGCCTGCTTTGCTTGTAACGTGCACTGCAATCCATTCTACAGAGTAAAACACTCCGGTTTTACTGTGCTTGTGCCGCTATGTTTAAGGTTTGAAAGTCACACACATGTGAGAATGCCCAATTTGCAAGGATGGCACTACCAAGCCCTGCTTATTTTCATCGAATCTGACTGATTCCCTTTCAATTGTCGTTCCCCACCTTGTAACACTCATTTTCCACCCATCCCATTTCATGACACCATCTATGTCTAGCTTCAAGCTGTCTCATTATGCTCCTCTCGCCCTTTTCCCTCTTCCCCCTCTCCCTCCTCCCCCAAACACATCCCACAAGTTCTCGCACATGTACAAGTATATTGCAATCCATCCTATAACTCACAGCAATTTCATTATCGTGTTGTTTATATTTGTGCAGCTTTGAGGAATGAGAAAAGTGTGAAACGGAAAGGGATGTTGGAGAGGCGTGAAGCAGCAGCAGCTGCTGCTGCTGTGGGTGTGGGAGGCACAGAAAAGACAGCAGCGGGGACATCGGCAGCATCCAAGAAAAGAAAGACTGTAAAGGAATCAGAAGGGAATATGGAAGGTGAAGAGAAGGACATTGTAACTGAAGAATCAGGTTAAGCACTAAAGTGGTGACTACAAGTTGTCATATCCTCATCAAGCGTGTGATGTGAATGTAGCTTTTAGAGCATCTGGTTTTGTCAGGCAAACACCAGCTCACAAGAGCACTAGAAGTAGTACCACACACACGCTTACAACAGCCACTTGAGGGTATTTGTCTTGGAATATATTCACTGCAATGCTATGATGCAGGAAATGACACATTCTCTTACTATCATCTACAGCAGGTCCAGCAGCATGTTGAGAAGCATGTCAGACCAGCCATCTGCTAGAAAGGCATAGTGCCAGCGTAGCGGAAGCCTTGATTGTGAAATAGAATAGCTAGAGAACCTTGCAACTGAATGGATTCAGAACAATGGATTGGATTGATAATGAAAGCACACAGCAGGGTATTTATCCATGCAGCTACCCTGCCAAAGTCTAGCCATCCCCACCAATAATTGTACCTCCAATAATGGCAGCTCCAATAAAGGAGTACCAATAATTCTACCCCCAAGGAGACCAATAATGCAGCCCCTACAATAATTGTATAATTATTGTAGAGCCTAGAGGCTTATATAGAGGATTACACTAAAACCTGACAGCATAGAACTTTTCTGTTGCTTTATATTTCCAACACTCCCCCTTGCTGTTGGTTTTAGTGATTTACTTTTTGTGGAGGATGGGGATAAGGTGGTTTACCACAAACAAACATACCCTTAGCTTCCGTTGATTGCGGAAGTGTTTTCCCGTCCGTGTCGGAGCAGACCACGTTAGGGTTTCACATTGACGCGTCCTAGGAGTCGGTTCCGTTGTCGCGTAGCAGGTCTGTTTCAGGTGCGCTACCTCTATTGCGATACTGTTCCTCCCATCTCGCCCATCCTCTCGTCCCCAACTCTCGTCCTTTCCAACCCCACTGCAGTTTCACGCTTCTCTCACATCGAGTTGCGCTGCTCCTGCTTCCCGTTCTTCCTACTCAGATCTGGTTCACCCAAGAACCTTCAATCTCGATAGTCAGCCGTTTTGCAACCCCACCTGCCAATCGCGTTCACCCACGGCTTTCCCGTCGTGACACTTCGGCAGCACCTCCTAGACCTAGTTTTAGTCAATAGTTGCTGTTGCTCTTTTGGCCGTAGGCTGACCATGGCGAAATTAGCTCTCAGAAAAGTCGAAATGCTTCGAATAGGTGAGCCGCAGCTGGCTCTCGCTCCAACAGCTGACGCACGACTTAGCAAGTGTTGGTGTGCGACTTCTTCATGGCGCTCTGCTGCTCCTGCTCCTGCTGGTCGCGCGACTCGCTGCTGGTCTTGATCATTCAGCACTTCACGCCCGTCCTAAGCGGCATGATGCGCGACTGCTGCTGCATGCGCACATCTCCAGCAGCAAGCTCATGGCTGCATCAGCGCCCGTGACGACCGGCTGCAGTGGCTGGCGTACGGCTGCAGCAGCATGCGCGCTCCCCCTGTCTCTGCGGACGACCTGGCGCACGGCGACAGGAGTACCTGCGATGACCTACGCGCCTGTAGTGCCTTTGCGCGCAACTGCATTTCATGCCGTGCAACTTCAGCTTGGCGCGAAATCACTGCTGCTGGCACGGATGTCCAGCACCTTAGCGCAACTGCTGCTGCTGACGTGTATCTGCAGCATCTGCACAGTGACACGTGGCGCTTGGCGAGTGGTAGTATGGCAGCAGCGTCGTGCCTTCTCCGTCGTGACTAGGTGAGTAACCCTTCACCGTGTACATTTCTCCTTGCACTGATTCACCAGCTTCTCCTAATCACGATCTTCCTCTCCCTTGTATTTCTTGTCACCACCTGCAGGTGGCGTAATGCAGCAACCGATGGCGGCGCACAGTAGCAGCAACTCGTGAGCAGCACCATCGTGTCCTGTCGGGCGGTGGCAGCACCAGCGGCGCTTGACGAGCGGCGGCCACGTCAGCAGCTTGTGGAGGGCAGCTTCTTGTGCCGACCAGCAGCTTCAACTTCAACAGCGTGCAGCAAGTGTCGCACATCAGCAGCATTACCCGGCGCTCGGCAGCAACATCAGAGGACTGCAATAGCGACACACTCGCGGAAGTAGCGGCAGGTGAGCAGCAGGCGACTAGCAGCATCAGGCTGCTTACCCATTCTTCTGCCGAGGTGAGGTGTTCCTTACAGGTCAGATCCGTTTGAGCGAGTGTTGTGCTCTCCTCTCTGCCGCACCCAAGTCCCGTTCTCTCAGTCCTTGTTACCTTGTGCTGCCCCCCTCCTGCACCAGGTGGCACACGGAAGCAGCTGAACATGGCGGCAGCAGCTTCACCCGCCCGCCTGCAGCTCCACCTGCTGGCCTGCAGCAGCAGCTACGCGGCTCACGAGGTGGTGGCGGACAGCAGCCGCGGCTGGTGGTGCTGGAGCTGCAACAGCAGTGCCTGACGAGCGGCAGCAGCACCAACAGCACTTGGCGGCCTGCAGCTCCCCGTGACGCCCTGCAGTTCCCCCTGACGGACGGTAGCTGCAGCTGGTGACGCCCAGCAGCCGACTGCATCTCCTGGCGACAGCATGGCAGCAGCAGCAGCACCTTGCTCTCTGCAGCTGCACTTTTTCAGCTCCATCTGCCTTGTGAGTAAAAACCCTTCATACATTCTGCCATCACTGGGGTAGCTTGTTTGCTTTCTTCTCGTTCTGCCCGCCGTTCACTCTCATCCTGGATGAAGCTTGTTCTGACTTCATCTTGTCTTGTGATACTCTCTGAATTCATCAGGTGCAGAGAAGCACCAGCGGCCGGCATAAGGGAGCAGCTGCTGCTGGCGGACAGCAGCAGCCGGCGGCCTGCACCAACAGCAGCGGCTGCCCATGGTAACAGCTGAAGCCCGAGTACTGCATCTCCTACAGCTCCAGCCCTTGTGCACCGATAGCACTGGCAAGCAACGGCTTGCCTTTGCCTTAAACAAAGTGAGTATTCCTTCAGCAGCAGCATGACTTCTCATCTCACTCCGCTTGTGCAATCTTCTGCTCACTCTGCTTCATGATGCTATTTTCAGCCATGATGTCACTCATGTTGTTGTGTTGCACTCCCCCTTAAACCAGCAGGTGTACGGAACCAGTGTCAGCTGGCGAACAACAGCAGCTGGCGCACGATTGCAGCAACTGTTGGCGAGTGGCGTAAGCGATCAGCAGCAGTGTCTGACCACCAGAGAGTTGTCCCCGCTCCTGTCTTCGAAGATGCTCACAAATCCTGCTCCATGCCATGTGAGATACTCCACACCCCACACTCCCCCTCACCCATGTGTTTACAGTCATGCGCAAGCATGCACATAGTTGCAAACACATGAGTGATGTGTGGAGTTACGTGACGCCATGTGGTGCAGCACACCTCGAGAAGCCCGCACATGTGAGTGTTGCACCAGTACCATTGACTTGCTGACCATTCGCAGAAGCTGCTACATGGGGAATCGGTTGGAGGCCGCACATGCGGTTGCAGGTGATGTCATGTCCGTCTTTGGCGAATGTGGGCTGATCCGTGGCCAGGTCTTTTGTTTCATTGTACGGCAAGTCAGCCATGCGCACGCCCGTAGTTGCATATCCCACCTTGCTTCCAGCATCATCTTCATCCTCAGCTGGTACAAGGACATTTGCTGCAGGCAAGTCATTCGCTGCAGCACCTTCCTTTCCCTTGGTTGCATTGTCTTCATCAGCTCCATTTGAGTCTTGTTCCGTGGAGTCCCCTTTCCCCACCGCGGCCCGTTGTCCTTCTCCCCCTGAAGTCCACACCGCAACGTGGGGTGAGACTTCATTCGCGTGTTGCTGGTGCCCAAGCAAAGGCCCAGCGTCCAGCGGCATGCCATCAAAGGTGCGTGGTGAGCGAGTGTCTTTGTTAACATCACGTGTCGTGCCCCTCACGACACAAGCCATGTGCGCGATACGGTAGGTGACGGATGCATAAGCAGATTGACCATTCAATCTTCCATCACCATGTGCATCCGATGACGCATCCTCACGAGTATGTCCACATCCATGGTCAAAGGCAAGTGCTGGCTCATATTCCACCATGAGCACTCCGTGCACATCCTTGCCAAGTCCAATTCGTACACCCCCATCTCCATCAGGCATGGAGATTTCGGTGTCTCCACCATCGTTGGTGTGAATCCGAGCTCCCTTTTGCAGCAGCTGACAGTAAGAGAGGAGATTAGACTTCAAACCAGGTACGTAGAGCACGTCGGTATAGCGCACCGTTGTCCCATCGGTTGCATGTACTCTGATTGTGCCCACCATTGAGCTGTTCAGAGTGCTCCCATCAGCAACCTCCACGTACACAGGTTTGTCCAACTCCTTCAAATCCTCGAACCATCTTTTGTCTGAAGTCATATGCTGGCTACATCCGCTGTCCAGCAAACACAGAGGACCTCCAGCGCTTGATGAGGTCGTTTGTGACGATCGAACCGTTGCAATACAAGTAATCGTCCGTTTGTTGTCTCCCCCGGCTGCCCCTTGCTGCTTTATACCATTGTTGTCACGTTTGGGGCTGCCACCATTTCGAGGAGAGATCGAACGGCTGTTGCTGGTACGTCGGTTGGTCCTCCTTCTGTTTTGTTGTTCCCACCCCGGTGGTGACCATCCTGGTGGTGCCGTGTGACACTTGTAGAACGGGTGGCCCAGTTGCCTGCAAAACCAGCACATGAGAGATGAGCGTCCGCCCTTTCCAACATTGCCATTCATTTTCTCTCCCTTAGTCGCTTGCTGCCCTCCGCTTGAAGTTGCAGCATTCTTGGTCCCGGTACTCTCTTTTGTATGCGAGCCTTTGCGCCCTTGATCAGCCATGCGTTGCGTTTCATCGTCTTGACCGTAGGAGTGATGTTCCACCATATCCACGCGATCACGTCGCAAAACACCATTTGACTGCATCCCATGTCCCGTGTGCTCCACGCTCCATACAGGATCCACCCCCATTAGTGGACGAGGCGCACGAGGAGGTATGTTGCTGACTTCAAGAAGGTGAGATCTGTCCATTACGGGGGCTCCAATGGAATAAGAGTTAGTGGCAAA